GAAAAGAAAAAACTAGTGCTTTCCTCCCTGCAAGCTTCCTTTACCTTTTAGGCTCAAAGGAATAATTAGCTACTCTCACTGCTTTGAAGACTGGTTCCAAGCTCAAACCACAAATATAAGAAAATGTTACCATCATTTGAGAATCAGAAAGTGATTTCATTCAAATCTAAATTTTTTATTGTAGTAGAATCACTGATATGTTTTTTAAAGGGATAAAGTTTGAAATGTGCAGTTATGAAAAGCTCTGCTTCCCTCCATGGCACCTGCATTTCACAGAGCACTTGTGGTCATGCAAAGAGGAGGCGTGAACACGCTTCACTATCACTAACACACACACACACTGTGATTTTAAAACAACGTGTTTTCATGAAGAAAAGAGGTGCCACTCTTTTAACTGAGCAGAGCTTTTCTTTAATCAATAGGGGGGGGGGTCCATAAAGCATCTGTGGAAAGCTGTTGAAATGTGCTATTTCAATTACTGTTTCAAACATGAGAAATTTGGTATGAAACCACCTCAAAACTTATTCTATATTGTTCACTTGTCCAAATGGCAGTTGAACACTGTGTTACTAAAGTGAAATAAAAAAGACAAGAGAATCAGGATAATAATTACAGCTTTCCCCAATTAAAGAACAAAACAGAGGTGAATAGAGTTGGACAATTTCCCACCCTGAAAGCACCAAGACAGGAAGATGGAGTTTCTGAGAAATTCCAAAAGAATAATTGATATATTTGCCCCTTTTTGAAAATTCATAATATCCAAAAATTATTAAACATAAGTTAGTATATTCATTTGTCATTTGTGGACCACATAGAAACAACTTCTTTATTTTGATGCCAGAAGAAAGGAAAAAGCAAAGAGAGGGAATTGTTCAAATCTTTGTTCTCAACAGTTTGGGACTTTTGATTTCCAGCAGGGCAAATAAATAAGACCTGAAATAGTTTAAGACAAAGTGAATTGTCATTTATTAGCAACTAGAAGAGTTTTCTCTATGATCACAAGTGCATTCTGATTTAATAATGAAAACAGTAGATTGGTAATAATGTTATCAATGATTAAGAATCTACCATGGGCCAGCCAGGTGGTTCACTTGGTTAGAGAGTGAGCTCTGAGCAATAGGGTCGCTGGTTCAATTCCCACATGGGCCAGTGAGCTGCACTTGAGTTAAGCTGCCAACAGGCAGCCAGATGGCTCAGCTGGTTAGAGCGAGTGCTTTTAACAACAAGGTTGCCAGTTCGACTCCAGCGTGGGATGGTGGGCTGCACACACCCCCCTCCGCCCCACAACTAAGACTGAACACGGCACCTTGAGCTGAGCAGCCGCGAGCTGCAGACAGGTGGCCGGATGGCTCAGTGTGCTACAAGGTTGCTGGTTAGACTCCGGCATGGGATGGTGGACTAGGCCTCCGCCCCCCCACAATTAGATTGAAAGTGGAGACTGGACTTGGAGCTGAGTTTGTGCCATCCACAACTAAGATTGAAGGACAACAACTTGACTTGGAGCTGATGGGTCCTGGAAAAAAACACAATGTTCCCCTTCCCCAATTCCCCAACACCATTCCCCTCCTCAATTCCCCAATAAAAATCTTTTTAAAAAAATCTACCATATGCCAATACTATACTAAATGCATTACATAAATTATGTTGTTTAATTTAATTCCACTTTACATATTAAAAAACTAAAGCTCATGTGGGTTCCAGCACCAAGAAGCAACACAGTGCATTGGTAAGGCCACCTTTTTGGTTTGTTTAAAATGTGTAATTTACCTAATGGGGTAATTTTATGACTGTCTCAAGCAATAACAACCTGATGCATAACCAATGGGGAGGGAGAAGAAGGCTAAATCTAATAGGCAGAATAATCACTCTTTCAAGTGCACCGTGGCCATGGCCAACCATGTGTCACATTTCATAAGATCTCCAGGTCAGTGAGAAACAAGTAATACTGGGAAAGCATTGGGAGAGAGAGTTTCCCACTCCTCCCTTCCTTAGACCCACTTCCTCTTTGATTAGGACACATGGGATTGCTTTCACACACTCACTCCATGAGTTTTATCCATCAGCAACTTCAGGCCATTCAATCCTTCACTCACTCCAGTGGAACTCTCTGTTCACCTCCTCTCCACCAGTCTATAACTCTTACTTCCCCAGGACCCAGCTCTCAGCTTCCAGAAAATTGCTACTCTCCATACCGGTCATTCCTCACCTTCTTCTTTCATCGCTCCATGCAGTGATTGGAATCTTGTTTCCCCAACCAGACTAAGTTCTTCAAGAGCCAAAATTTCACCTCTCCTTCTTCTCTCTAAGTGCCTGTTAAATTAATGCACTGATGTTAAGTTTATTCTTCTTTAGGTTAAAGATGTTGAATACAGAGGATATGACTTCCAAGCCACACTAATCTATTAGGATACCTATGACTCAGGGACTCATTAAGACTGCTTAATGCATTATTCATCCAGTTTATTGATTCTATTTTCCATCTGTAATAAATGTGCATTCCCTCTTCCCAAACAATAGCTCAGTAAGTATAAGATAATTCAACTTCACTTAAAACCTAACACTGGTTTCTATGAGCTGCTTCAGCACTTATGTTTTATGAGCTCACAGCTCTTGGGTCCATCAGAATTCTTGTCTGTAACTGAGCCTTCTTAATTACATCACTCTGGATTTTTACATCATTTCTCATTAAGTAATTTTACCCATCTGTATTAGTTCGGCTAACCTATGCTATGATATCAAATAAACCCAGATCTCTTGGTGGTTTCGTAACATGAAAGTTAAGATTTTGCTCGCACATGTCCTTGCTTTGGAGAGCCAGGTTCTCCTCTATCTAGTCATGAAGGCTGGGGGTGAGAGTGAGGAGGTGCGATTGCCTCCACCTAAAAGTGACTCATGTCTCTTCTGCTTACATTCCATTGGTCAGAACTGGTCACATGGTCCCAACCCACGTGCAAGAGAAGCTGGGAAGTGCAGGGAAGCACGTAGACATTCAGTATGCATTTATTAACAGTCTATGACACACCATCCTTCAAGGCCCAACTCAAATGTCTTTTCCTCCACAAAGTTCTCTCCAATCTTCCCCAAATAGGCGAGGTCTCATCTTTGCTCCAAATTCCCAACACCACATTGGCCCATGTTCATTTCTTCCATACTTTATGTTCTCTGCCACAGATGGAATGTGTTTGTTTTATCCACACTTTCTGAACCTGAGCTATGTTATATTCAGCTCTTTAAGGTGCCTTTTTAAACCTAGCACTGCTCAAGAATCTTTGCTGAGTTCACAAGAATCAGATAGGGACCGAGGAATGTAGGCATCCAAAAGCACCTTTGAGAAAACAGAGGGGGGAAAGGGCAGTAAAGTTTATAGAAATTCAGAAGCAAAAGCCTCCCTTTGGAAAATGCTTCCTCATTTTCTCATGCTCGGTGGGCAAGCAAGATGGCATCATTTGAAAACATTGGCCAAGACTGAACAATATATTACAGATTTGTTTAATATTGGCAGCTTTTTTTAAAAAATGTTCCTTTGAACAGTCTCAGCAAGGGAAAGCTCTCTCTCCCAGCACTGCCGTAAAAGTTAGAAGGCAGCTTTCTGCCCATTCCAAATCACCAGAAGTGAAGTATCAAGTCGTAAACGTCCCCCAGTGACTGCCTGGGCTAGCTGGTGTGGGTTTTTCTCTTTTACTTTGCAGAAAGAAAACACAGTAAAAGTTCCTTCAGCGAGCTGCCAAGGTGCTCCCAGGCCATTGTGCAGAAACATTGTCAGCTTAAATTAGGGAGTACAGACTCCATGAGTGTAAAAAAATCAATACTTGATGGAAGATTGCTCCCCGGAAAATCTGTTTTGATTCCAGGATTAATTCGCGACCAAAGGCTTCTGCAAAATGACATGCCATTAGTCAGAAAATGAACGCATTCTATCCTTGAAATTGGATGGAAATATGTCAGCTGATTGACCCATTCATTCTCCTCACTCTCTAGCAGAAAGAGTGGGTGTGGTAGCTATGTGAATTAGTGCCCCAAACGTGGTCCATTTTCAAAACAGGACAAAAAAATATATATTTTTTTAAAGTCCAGTGTGAATTGGGAGTAGTCTCCAGGCCATTGTTGGAAAGCTATTGCAAATGTGTTTCATCAAGGCAAATGCATTTGTCTGGAAGGCCCGGAACTCCTGAATTTTCTAAGCCTCAGAATAAACCCTTCTAAAAATCTTAAAATAAAACAAGAAAGAATTTTACCCCCAAAGCGGTGACCTGCAATATCAATGACAATATAATGTCTTTGTCATATATAAAGTAACATTCTTCTCACTCTTATCTGTTAGGTTTCTGCAACTACAGGCTTTTGCAAGAGGCAAGTTTCAGCTCTTCATTTGTGCTAATGACATTGGTCTTCAGGGCCTTTCCCAGCTGGTGCGCTTAGATCTGCAACAGGGATGAATTTCATTCCCAGACCCTGATACCTATAAATATCACTTGCTTTATTTCCTTTAAATCAAATTCAGTCTCATTCTGAGGCCATCAGTCATCGTGAACAGCGTTTCTCCATCTCTAAGGTGATGAAAAGAGCCCAGGAGTTTTGATAGAGCAAATGTTCAGGGACGCCCTTCTGATCTTCTGTCCAAGCTGGTCACCACCCAGTCCAGGGCTGCACAGTCCCTGGAAGGCAGCTGGTTCTAACTCAGACACAGCAAACCTTGCCAACCTTGAAGTTCCAATGCCAAGAATCAGGCTTCATTCTTCTGTGTGCTTCTCACTATCTTCCCTAAAAGACACACACTGCTCTCTCTTTCTCCTTGAGTCTCCCCAGTAAGCTCATCACTGCAAAAACCAACGCAGGAAAAAGGGTTGTTTTCAAATAACCAAGCCTTCCATTCTGTTTGGCAAGACAGCACATACTCTTGGTTAGCTTTTGGGAAGAGGAGAGGGAAGTTAAAGGAAGACAAAACCCACTGAATATGTCAATTATTCACGCGTCCACACACACACCCTGAAAGGCCGCTTCTACAGCATCTCCATGAAGCTTTGTGCTTCTGCCCTGCCAACCCACACACAGGCCTCCTCTCCTAGGGCAAAGACATTTTACTCCACTTGCCGGTGTGCTCTGGTCCCACACAACGGCTGCTAACAGTGTCAAACATGCTGAATGTGTGGAACAGATGAGGGTCATGACACCAGATGTTTGTATTCATTTTGCCAGAAGAGGAACCTCCAAGGTGAAGCTTACCTCCTTCTCCAAGCGCCTTTCCCTGAAGATACCAGAAAAAAAGACAGCAGCTGCACAGCTCCCAACCAGGCAGCAGGGACAGTTCCTGCAGGAGGGGACCATGGGCCTGAACCTCATCACCCATGGTGACTTCATTAGCATCCTCTTACTCAGGAGTAAATTGAGATGACAAAAGACAGCCTGAAACCTGCATTAAAAAAGAAAAGCTTCAAAATTGCTGTGTAGGCACAGGTGCTCCAAATGCCCCCAAGAGCTCCTTGTTGTCCCAGCTTAACAGTGCACCCCCTGGACTAGAGCTCATGTTGACAATATTTGACATTCATAGAAAAAAGAAAGAACTTAGACAAGAAAACAGGTGCCAGCACACAATAGATGGCACACCATACCAGCTCATGATCCAACACAGGGCATCTAATTCTGACATTTCAACTTGTCAATGCAGCCTGAGCTGCTTAGGCACCTGAATTGTACCAGGATACAACTATGATAGCATGAATCTTCACACTTTAAAAAAGTGTAGATCATTGTAAAACTAAATAAATAAACTAGATGACTAAACAAAGTTACATGCGGTTTCCTCAGCCTTGCTTGCAAATGGGAAAAATTATATTAAACACCAATATGTTCTAGTAACACATAATAATCATGTTTATTCTTTTGCATGGTTGCAGATATTGCAGATATTGCTAAAATAAAAATAAGATTTCTGAACAAATGGAAAGAGAACCTTCAAAATCCAGCCCCCTCTAGCTGTGAAAGAACAGTTTCAACTAAAATGAAGACCACAATCGCTGAAATCTTTCCCAAGGAAATGAAGATGGAAGAAGTCAGCATTATAATTGATTACAAAAAAATATTTCCACTTGCATACAAGGATTTAAATATTAGGGCTTTGTTGCTAAAAGTTCTCTTTTATTTCTATTTTAGAACGTTGCCCTCCCATACACTAGAAACATATCCAGCCTCGTCACAGCAACCTGTAGGGACTGGAACACTGAATAAGGGACCTGGAAACTTAGATTCTTTGACCTACCTCGTTGTCCACTAGCTCCATAATTCTAGGGTTTAGGAAAGTATAGGACTTTCCTAAACCACAGATAATTAGGAAGATTTTTAGGTCATGTCCTCAAAATTCCTGGTATTTCCTTTTGTAGACACATTGAAGAAGAGGTGTATCCACACACATGCAATGGAGATGTGGTATTTGTATGTGCACTTGAGAAAGGGGGATTGGAGGTAGGTTCTGTAGGATCTCCAAATGTGATCAATTTTGAAAGGTAAATGATTACCCAAAACAATGACTAGATCCCCTCTGAATTTGTCAGCTGTAAGGCAACTTGATGACAAAATTCTCAATTGACTAGTGATGTTTGTTGACAGAGCTTAAATAGCAGTGCCTGGGCATATCCTTTGTTTATATCCTTTGTTTATATAACTGGAACCAAACCAGCCTGAAATCGTGTTGAAAGGGAAAGAAGATATTCAAGATATATCTGCAACAAATTCAAAAGAGTCTCTCCTTAAACATTCTAGAAGGAAAGAATTCTTGGTTATTCTCCTCAAACTGTTGGGCTGTCAGAAAAGTCATGATGTATTTTTCTGTTTTTCATTGCAAAAATGCGTCATGACTTTTCTGACAACCCAATATATACTTAAAATGTGAAAATGTTAGGGCTAGCAAGGGTGAAAAGATGTTTCTTGAGAAAGTCCTTGCCCACTCTTCAGTAATGCCATATATGTCCTCAAAAAAGTCACTGATTTATTTGAATTACATCTTCTGGTTTGGAGTGTTTCATCTTAAGCATTGTTTTGTGAGGGGTTGCAGAGATGTAACCTCTAAATGGTAAGCACAAACAGAAGAGCAGAGAGCCCAGAAGTCCATGAGGAGAACCCAGCCAACTGTCCATCTTTCCTTTGTCTCAAACACACTCAGGGCTGGGGGGGGGGTCACAGAAGCCACCAGAGGGCTGTGAAGCAGGGCCACCACAGAGCCTACTATAGGTGCACAGTCACCACACACACACACACACACACACACACACACACACACACACACACACATTCCCCTTCCCCAATTCTGAGATCCTGTCTCGCTGTGGAAAGCATAACTAAGCCACTGGCATCAGAGCTGAACTCCACGCTGTCTCACCCTTGCCACATCACTCCCACCTCTACTTTGGCTCATATAGCTCTACTTTGACTAATTAATTCAGCTTGCAGTGTCCTTCCCCTTCCTTCCATCTCAATAACCCTTACCAAGCACGCTGACATACATTTTTCCTTGATAATATTTTTGGAGGTCTTCTTTTTTTAATTAATTTTTATTGTTCCATTATAATTGGCATTCAATATTATTTTATATCAGTTTCAGGTGTACAGCATAGTAATTAGGCATTTATATAATTTACAGTGATCTCCCCCCATCTTCAACACCCTCCCCCGTAAGCCTATGTACCTGACATCGGACATAGTTATTACAATATTTTTGGAGGTCTTTGCTCTAAATGGAAGATGAAGCACTAGGGAGGCATAACATTTGGAATCAAACTAAACTGGGATTAAAATATGATTGGGAGACCCTTGAAAAATTACTTGATCTTGCTTAGCCTCACTTCCTGGCCCATTAGTCATCTGAGAGATCTTGATTAAAAAGAATAGACTTAAGCCGGCCGAGTGGCTCAGTTAGTTAAGAGCTCACTCAAGAGTGCAAGCTCTGAGCAACAGCAGTTTGAGTCCTGACCCGAGCTGAGCTGCTGCTGAGCTGCCAACAGGTGGCAGGATAGCTCAGCTTAAAAAAAAAATAGCAAAAAGAATAGACTTGAGCACTTGTTCATAGTGGATGCTCAGTACATATTTACCAAGCCCCCTGTACTTCAGACCCTTCTCCATGTGCATTCCTTATCTTTCCAACTATGTTATGAGCTCCTGAAATAGAGTGACCACTTCTCTTAGTAGGCACTTCTAAGGTATGATTTGAAGTTAAAGATAATGGGTTCAAATCTAAGCTCTCCCCTCTACCATTCCCCTTCTCACCTGTAAAAGTTTGAACAAGTTATTGGGTCTCTTGAAGTCCCAATCTCCTCATCAAGTGGGAAAAAAATAATACTCATCTTATAGGGTTGATGTAAGAACCAATGACATAAGTACCCAGCACATTACAGGTACTTGGTTCAGTGTTAAATAAATCAATCACCTTTTTCCTAATAAATGTTCTTTCATTTTTGATAGGCTGTATCTAGATAATGCTTCTGCCTAGACCTCAGCACCAAGAAAGATGCGATTTGGTCTTCCAGGTTTTGGTAAAAAATTATCCCAAAATATCAGGTCTCCTCATTCATTGAACACTGAAGGTCCCTGACCCAAAGGAGGACAATTTAACAAGGCATCCAGCAGCCCAAATCAAACTGCTGGGGCAATTCATTGAGTAAAAGACAGTTAAATTTAGGATTTGGTATTAATTCCAATTTTTCTTTTACTCTTCTCCCCAAACTCATCCTCCTTAGAGGATGTAGCAAGGAAGTCAACCTTAAAAATACTTCTTAGAAAGATCATTCGTTTATTCACTTTCCTAGGTGTTGCAAGAGCTATGGAGATGAATTTACAAAGTCAAAAAAGATGGCTGGATTATGAAATCCCATAAAGAAAAACTTGAGTAATATCTTACCACCAAATGAAATTTCTCTGCAGAAGCCAAGACAATAAAACTTTTACAATAATCAGATTTCAGTTTTGAAGTTCATTTAGGTATTTCTTAAAAGAATTAGTTTGTGGGCTTTCTACTATGTCTGATAAAGGACAATGAACTTTATGTGTGACTTTCCATCAGAGTTTGCAGATATAGTTCACAGGAGTTAATGACTTATTTTCTCTTCAATTTCACCTAGCAAGATAAAACCAAGCTGCACTAGAGTTTTCCTATAGCAAGGTGACTGGTCAATACTGCTACTTGCTCTGTCAATGCCATCAAAATATTGTTTCATAATTTAAGAACAACCATGTAATTTTCTTCACTAGCAAGTGCAAATTAGGCACTTACTAAATAACTGACAAAATACTTAATTCTAGGGATGTCCTAAGGATTTGCTATTATTAAAAAAAATTTTAATAAAATTTTCCTTCAGTTATTCAACATGTTGCTTTTATTTTCACATTATTTTTATGTTTGGTGATGAAAACTATATTAGAGTTTGTCCCCTGCCAACTCCAATTTCTTTACTCAAAAGTGGTCTGCAAGTGTCTGTATAGGGTGTGCTTATGCTGTCCCTGGCCGAGATCACTTGGAAAGGTAACCTGGGGCTTAAGTGGGTTAGACAAAGCCCCTTTCCTTTAGGACCATCCACCAGGAACACCAATGGGGGCCCCAAGAAGTTTTGGTCTTTAGAGTTCTAATCTCAAAGAATAAGATGCTGTCATCAAGGACATTCGCACATGGAACCACTTTCCCCTGGCCATCTGCCAAGACAGGTGCGCCCTCATCATCAGACTGTCAGGCTGAGGTCTATCTATTCAGTCAGGCTCTCTGTTAAATATCCCATCTGCAGACATTTTACTTAACACTTAACTACAGAAATGCTCTGGGCAGACTCACAATTCATAAGCCAGCATATTAATCCTTGACTTTACAAGTTAAAAAGCTAGAAAAAGAGGAATACCTCTTTTTCTGTCCCTATTTCCACGGTCACTTTCTAGAACGTTCTCTTCTCACTATTGTCTCCCCAAAGGACAAGTCCAAGAATAAAACTTTAAATTATTCAAATAGGTCTCATAGGTCTCCCTCTCGCACGCACGCATGGCCTTCCTCCAGCATTTGCCTTCATTTACCTGATATCGAGAATGGAGGAGAGCCTCAGCCTACCTCTCTGACACTGCCCTTTCTCTCCCTGCCTCCTGAACACTGCAGCTTCCCTAGGAGCTGACATTTCTTCAGTGCCCATCCTGTGCTGAGTACTGTTCTAGTCCCATTGGCAGCATGAGTGATGGGCTGTTCCAGAATCCTGAAAACTGGCCCCAGTTATAGAGACCCAAAAGTTATTTTAGAAACTGCCTGTGTGGGTAGTGATACACACAATCAGATAAAATACACACAACATAGCAATTGAGATAATTAAAGAGTAATGTAACCTTTTCTTGAATCTCTCGAGGAACATTAACAACAGCACTTCTTTAAAAGTCTTGTTCTTTTCCCCT